TATACGGCGGGAGCAGTCTCTCTCTCAAGCTTCACTGCACTGTTTTAGTGGCTGCAAGCACGGGGGAAGTAAAAATATTGAATAGCACCCAGCTTAATCATTCACAGATGACATCTGCACTCTACAATGACCATCTACATGTACCGTAGAGCTGCGAATGGTCCAATCTTAAGTTTCACTGTGATGCATTCATTGGTTTAAGTTGTTTGTGATGGTGGCTTACCAGTGCAGAGGAGCTTGAGAGAGACTGCTCCCATAGTGTAGTCAACTCTTCCGCACAGCTGCTGGCGATGGTGCACGGCCAGCAGGCGAATGATAGCTGAGCAGGTGTGATCTACGAAGAACAGACCACACACATGCACGCACGCACACACACGCACACACACGCATGCACACACACGCACACACACACACACGCATACGCGCACACACACACACACACACACACACTCACACACTCACACACACACACACACACACACACACACACACACACACACACACACACATAAAGGCTCAACATCAAGATGCGGCCAGGGTCACTCACCCTGCTGCCAGTGAAAGAAATACCTCACTGCAGGCCTGGCAAACAGCGATTGACAAAACACTCCTATCTCCACAACCCAATGCTCTCAATGTCGTGCAGATGTGTGCATGCAGATGGGCGTGTTATTAAGTTCCATTATCATCCAACATCCTGGCAAACACTGAGCAGGAAGGGGATTAGGAAACCTACCTGAAACTGGTCTGACTCGGTGCCCGATGAGAGTCACCTCTAGCCGAGCTGGTAAATCAGCCAGCAGGTGTAAACAACCGCTCGTGCCGCCATGCGAAGACGGCTTGCCATCGACCAAGGATGGCGATGATGTAGCTTGCACTTGCATCGCCTGCTGCCGTGGTGCTGTCAATGTAGAATTCAGTAGGGAGTCGGTCAGCAACTCACAAGCGGTCGCCACGATCGTCTCACAGGAAGACGACAGGATCTCCTGGAGGATAAAAACAGACCAGAAGTCGATCACCTCTGCTTCAGAGGCAGGGAACAGCGGCGGATCCAGCGATCTCTACAGGGGGATTCCAGTATAGTCGAAACTGAATAGCTGATACATAAACATGGGCACGCATATGGTTGCCAGTAGACCCCCTCTACTACAGTCCATTCAGAAAAAGATGGACTTCTAGCTTTTGGCCATAAATGGGTCAAACTTTGAGTTTTTTTAGAATTTTTTTCTGCAATCCCCTAAGGAATCCTCTTCCAATTATGTTTCTGAAGTTTTTTTGTCCAAAAGGCAAGCCATAACAAGAATAGGATTTCGGCCAGGTTTTGCCCCCAAAGCATTGAATTGGAAAAACCCGTAAAAATCCAGGCCGTTTGACCCCGTCTGCAACAGTGCATTGTGCGGTTCGAACCCCCGTTTAGGTACCCTTTTTGGACCCTTTTTCAAATTTCAAATTTCGCAGCACTGCACTGTGTACGATGAAATCACGAAAAATCGCCAAATACGGGAGCTCGCCAGAGCCAGAGCCCATCTTTTTATGAATGGACTGTAGTACATTTACAAAATTTAGGGAGTTCTGCAGAACCCCTGGAACCCTTCCTGGATCCCCACCCCCTGAGGAACCGTCTGAAGATGGTACCCAAGCACTTGCAGCACTTTTCAGTGCATCCGTTGTGTTCACGAATCTACTTACAATCAGGGGTGGCAGGGATGCCGGGGTGGCTTGAACTAAACAAACAAACTCTCCCTTTGTGAAGTAGCTCTTGATCAGTTGGCCGCGAGAAGCCAGCAAGTCCTCCTTGGCGAACATTTGAAGACAGGTTTCTAGCTGGACAAAGAAATGAGCAAGACAGTTGATTGCTTCCTTATGTAGGTTTTGAGAACATTGAAACGGGAAGCCTGGAGAAAAAGTTACGGCCCCCCCCCCCCCCCCCCCCTCCTCCCGCACTCGAACCAGGGCCCCTCATGTAGTCGTCATCCCAGCAACAAAATTTCAACTTCTTCAGATTTTGAAACTCATGCTTCCTAAGAATCAGCACAGACTGGTGGCACGCTTCTTTGGAGATGTTTGTGCATATAAACGTTAATACAAATAGAGGAAAAACTTTGTTATGCCTCCTAGTTGAAATGTACAATCAGGCCTTTATATCCGTCTAACAGAGACATGTAGTTGATGAACGCTCGCAAGCACAAACGCCCACACACACACGCGTGCACATATGTGCACACACCCAAACACACACACACACACGCACACACACACACGCTCGCACGTAAGGACATACACATCGCGATCTTTACGTACAAGACTTTTCTGAACAGAAAATGGCAAGTCCGTGCGGAGCGTCCAGGAGAGAAACTTGATACATGGAGAGAAGATATCCTTCATAGAGTGTGCCACCTTTTCCAATCCAACGACCACAATGCTCCAGGCTAAACAACACCACAAATACATTGCAGAAACATGCAAGGTCGGCTGTTTGTAAACAAAATGCAAAGATTCATCCATGCGCACGTGTGTGCACAAGCACACACGTGCGAACACACATGCAAGCAAGCACACATACAAGTGAACACACATACACATGCACATGCACACACGCAAGCACATGCGCACATGCGCGCACACACACACACACACACACACACACACACACACACACACACACAAGCGCACATTAACTACACCACACTGCTAGCGGTACAGGGAGTGCTGGCCAACAGAGTGAGAGGCTACGGAGAGAGATCAAGGGGTCGGTCAGGTAGTCACTGCCAGAGCAGGAGTCTTGGCGAAGCCAAGAGCGGTAGTCACGTCCAAGGGATGGTGACTGAGAGCCCTGAGTAGCCGAAAAAGGCAGTGGCCAACACCCTTTATTTACGTTACCAAAGAAAACGAGAGAGGAGAAAATGGGAGGGGGTGGGTGAACTAGCACAACAATTTGACAAGACTGATCCACACAGAACGGATCGAAGCGTAGAACTGCAATGAAGGAGAACTGGCTTTAGCATGCCACGTCACATGCCACCCACATTTAGGGACACGTTGAATGCCACGTCGCATAGAGTGCCCCGTGTGCCTGATCATGTTGTTAGTCGGCACAGTTACCGTGATGTGTGGTGCACGTGACCGTAGCTAGCAGCAAAGCGTGAGCCTGCAGTAACAGCGCACGCGATTTGAGTAGCATGGACTGAGCGGTAGCACGAAGCCATGGGCAACAGTTCATCTGCATTTTATAATATGTATATAATATAACCTAACCAGTTGATTATATGGGAAATATAAACCTGTATACAAACCGAGGCGAAGCCGAGGTTTGTATATTGGTTTATATTTCCCATATAATCAACGGAGTAGGTTATATTATGCTTATACTGAGCTGATATACAAACTCCCCTCTCCCCCACAAGGGTAGAGATTGGAATTCCAACCCACAACCATGGCTCGACGAGTCTTCCTTTTACCAACCTGTGCGGATCAAGTACAAGACTACCACTGACTCTGTGCAGTGCATGCAGTGCTAGTGCAGTACCATCACACACTCTTTGTGACTTCAGTTTAGTACTGAAGTACTAGTTACATCGGAAGTAACAGCTATGCGCCAAGTAAGTTAGTTTGAACCTCACAGTGCTAGTGACCGTTACCGCGCGCAGATCTCACCGCGGGCTCTGTAAAAGAACCGTTTGCTCATTAGACTTTAGAGACATAGAGTTCGTCTCCTTTCCAAAGTAAGAGTAAAATGAATCAGCACGAGCCTGTTGAATCGACTCCCAAATGTTTCTTCTGAGGACGACCACGAATCACGATGCCATTATTCAAGCAGCAGTTTCTAAGAACACTGGCAGTACCACGGATTATGGCTGCGCATGTTCCGTCCGCTCTGCGAGGGACGCGGAAAGGAGAACATCGATTGGAAAACCATCAGTAGTGAAGTTCCGCCGCCCCTGCTATCTGCATTCTATGTCCATGCAAAAACGCAGGAGGAGCGGCACGCGGGGCTCTTCAGCCGCACATGTCGAGTGCTGCGCTTGACAGACGGAGTGCTGAAACAGCGAAAGAAGGACAGCCTCGAACGCCAGGTGCAGCACAAGGCACATGTTACAAAGGACGACGTTGTATTCTTCATCGTTGACGGGAAAGAGATCCTGAAGTTGGGACCGTCGTGCATGTCGAAAAACCATCAAGGCGGACTGCAGGTCACTAGTGTAATCCTAAAAAAAAAAGGAGTTTATATACCAGTTTATACACCAGTTTATATACCAGTTTATATACCAGTTTATATACCAGTTTATATTCTCGTCATCGAAGTACCTGTTAGGCCGAGTAAAAAAAATTACTAGATGATCGTCCTTTTTTTTGGAAAAATCGGGGAGGGCGGGAGGATTTTATTTTTATTTTTTTACTTTTTACCCTCTCATGCACACAGTGTACACAACAACATCAAGGTTTTTTTTCTCTTTTTTTCTTTTTTTTCTTTTTTTCTTTTTCTTTCTTCAGCAGATCGATACTGACGTTGTGATATACTAGTAGTATGTGGTCCATATAGTAAAGAAAGTATTAAACAAAGCGTGCACATGTTTCCTGCATCCGCGATCGGTAAAAAACCAACGATTTCGGCAAAAACTCACGATTTAAAAAATAAAATATTTCTTGGGGCGCTGACAAAAACTGGGGCGGACGGGGACGATCATCTAGCTTTTTTTTTTACTTGGCCTTATATGCAAAATACAAGTCTGGAGTGTTGTGTGGGGAGAGATGGGAGTTTGTATACAAGCTCAGTATAATACTATAATACTGCCCCCCCCCCCCCCCCCCTCTCCACACACACACATGCATTCACAGTCAAGGAAAGATGATCACGCACAGAGGTAGAGGAACACAGGTCCAAAGCCACCAGCACATGAGCCAAGAATGTCTCACTTACCCTTGCACCAGTGTATGTGTGGTACAAACTCTTCACCATCAAGATTCTGGAGAGAGAGAGAGAGAGAGAGAGAGAGAGAGAGACAGCGAGAGAGAGAGAGAGAGAGAGAGAGAGAGAGAGAGAGAGAGAGAGAGAGAGAGAGAGAGAGAGAGAGAGAGAGAGAGAGAGAGAGAGAGAGAGAGAGAGAGAGAGAGAGAGAGAGAGAGAGAGAGAGAGAGAGAGAGAGAGAGAGAGAGAGAGAGAGAGAGAGAGAGAGAGAGAGAGAGAGAGAGAGAGAGCGAGAGAGAGAGAGAGAGAGAGAGAGAGAGAGAGAGAGAGAGAGAGAGAGAGATCGAGAGAGAGAGAGAGAGAGAGAGAGAGAGACAGCGAGAGAGAGAGAGAGACAGCGAGAGAGAGAGAGAGAGAGAGAGAGAGAGAGAGAGAGAGAGAGAGAGAGAGAGAGAGAGAGAGAGAGAGAGAGAGAGAGAGAGAGAGAGAGAGAGAGAGAGAGAGAGAGAGAGAGAGAGAGAGAGAGAGAGAGAGAGAGAGAGAGGAGAGGGAGAGAGAGAGAGAGAGAGAGAGAGAGAGAGAGAGAGAGAGAGAGAGAGAGAGAGAGAGAGAGAGAGACACACACACACACACACACACACACACACACAGACAGGGACGGAGAGAGACATTTTAGTGCCAATCAATAGTCCCGTTGAGCCTTTTTTCTTCGTTGAAATGCCAATTTTTGTGACTCTAGATGGGTCAGAAAGGTGCCCGGTAGATGGAGGTGTTGTACCTGAGGATGCATTTTTTTTGTGTGGCGTATGTTGTCCCTGCACCTTTTAGAACGTATATGCCCCTTTTAGAACGTAAATGTCCCTTTTAGAACGTGTGTGCTGGGTCCGCGTGGGCGGTATGCAGACCGCGCACGGACTGCGAAGGTTGCGACCCAGCACGCATGCGTTCAGTTGTACACATTCTTGTTGTTCGATTCCTTGCTTCATCTTGAGACTCTCTTTGGAGTGAGACCAAAATAATCAGTCCTCTGTTTGTGGTGCATGCGAGATTATGTCAGAGTAATCGGAAGAGTCTATCATCCGGAAATAAATCCCCCGATGACATTGGTGCCCGGAATAGGTACGTCCGGATCTGGGGAGTTTTACTGTAGTTTGAATATTAAGTGCAAGGATGACCTGTGCTCCCGTTGACTTACCGAGATCAGATACAGGATTTGTCTCCACTGTGTGTCTGTCATAAGCTCCAATGGCCCAGACTTCAAGAGCAGCTCTGTCAGCGAGTTACATAGGTCTTCAGCTGGCACAATTCTACCAGAAATACATGCACATGCGCAAGTACATAGTTGCATTCATGCTCACGCGTGCGCGCGTGCACACACGCACACACGCACACACACACACACACACACACACACACACACACACACACATTGAAACATTGGAAGCGGGGAGACCTCATTGTCTTGATTGTGGGTGTTGGGAATGTGGATGTGTATTAGTTCCACTATTCAACATTATGCAGGGGCATCACAAAGTATTCTAGGGTGGTACGGTCAACCATGTGAAGGTCGGCATCCAGCGGCCTTACCCGGAATTTTTCGACATCTAGGTGGCTCAATCATTGCATTTTCTTGAGCCACAGGACACCTGGGGCAAAAGTAGTAGGGCTAATACCAAAGTGATAGTAGCGTGTCCTGCACCTCTGCATATGGTGTAGTGCATGAAGCGACTAATATCAAAAGACATGTGGTTTTTCCAGCACGGTTGTAACAGTACCTTTGCCCGTGCAAGAAAGCCGTGTAGAGCAACGAGATTGTGGCGGCTTGTGAGAGCGCCACCTGTCGATCGGTTGACGGGATTGAAGACAAAATCGTCAGCATGTCCTGTGAGTTGCAGTCTGTGAACAGGTGTGAAAAACGCAAGGATACATGCCGTATGCACATGCACGCATGAACACATGCGGGAATACACATGCACACATCCACCCACACGCGCGCGCGTGCACACACACGCACGCGGACGCATACACACACACACACACACACGCACGCCACCACCCACACACACAAACGCACGGATACACACCCACCCACACGCACGCACGCACCCCCCCCCCCCCCCCCCCCCCCCACACACACACACTATAAACTACTGACGACAATTCTTTCTCACATCATCAAGCACTACAACTGTTCACATCATGCCGTGCACTGACGGTTTCTCTGATCTTAGAATGCACATATGTTGTAGTATGTTATTTTGTGTACGCGGTGTTGGTGCATGCGCGTGTCGCTGTCGTGTGAAAAGCAGTCTTCGTCTTGAGTTTGTCATGTCTTGTTGTGTTTCCGTTGTCATCTTGTAATAAACAGTCCTTCTAAATGTAGTTATCGCCGTCCGATCGTATAAGTGTGGAGATAACACGGGAATGGGAGCAGGTGGAGAAAAGCTATCTACAACACATACACTCTTACTTGGTCTGAATGCTTTTAAAGCCGAGAACGCTTGTCCAAGAGCAAGACCGTCGCTGGGTTGATCCAGCAGGCCTGCATGGTACTCCGCTACACGCATGCATACCTGCTCCACAAACGTCCATGCTGCCGATGAGGAGCTGAAAAACAAAACAGTGCGGACAAGCTTCTAAGTGCACATACTGTCTAAGGGAGTTACGGCAGATGAACACACAGCCACGCAGACGCATGCATGAACACACATGCACACATGCACACACACACACACACCTCAGACCTCAGACATGCCCATCGCGGAAGCGATGACAGCAAACAGCTATGTTAGACATAGCAACTTGTGCTGGGATTACACTATTCACCAGCTTGCAAGGCTGATGAATTGACCGCCACTATTTTTAGCCTGGTATCCACCACACAGCTGTTTGAAGTGACTTTTTACACACACACACACACACACGCACACACACACACACACACACACACACACACACCTGGTCCTGGTAAACACTGCCATTACGGTCACGTGTCCCCTTACGGGGCCGACAATATAGAACGACGAGCGGGACCATGTTCGAGAGAGCCATCTCCAGCAGCTATGGATCTGGCTTATCATCGGAAACGATTCCTCTCACGGCTGCCGCTAGAACTGGTCCATCACTCTCCACAACAGAGCGAACATTCCATGAGCCAACGCTCAGAGTCGTTCCAAGTCGTCGTCTTCGTGCGGTAGTTTGCTCCACTCGCGGGCTTGCAAAGCCTCGCGAAGGACTCCGAGGTGGGGGCGACGAGGAGAGTGTCGGCATCGTAACTATCCGACCAAGTCTCCTGTCGGTGAATACCCCACCTCAGGCACTGTTGGCCTGGACGGCTGGGGACACCCCAGGCCGTCCACAACGGCGAGAACAAGCACGGACGGAGGCCAGAAACAAGAGCCCGGAAAAGTACAACCGTCCTCCACCAGAGCAGAGAACACACACATTGTCAAGATGTTCAACTATTTGAAAGATTTTCTTATCGTCGGAAACGATTCCTCTCACGGCGGCCGCTCGAACTGGTCCATCACTCTCCACAACAGAGCAAACATTCCATGAGCCAATGCTCAGAGTCGTTCCAAGTTGCCGTCTTCGTGCGGTAGTTTGCTCCACTCGCGGGCTTGCAAGGCCTCGCGAAGGACTCTGAGGTGGGGGCGACGAGGAGAGTGTCGGCATCGTAACTATCCGACCAAGTCTCCTGTCGGTGAATACCCCACCTCAGGCACTGTTGGCCTGGACGGCTGGGGACACCCCAGGCCGTCCACAACGGCGAGAACAAGCACGGACGGAGGCCAGAAACAAGAGCCTGAAAAAGTACAACCGTCCTCCACCAGAGCAGAGAACACACACACACACACACACACACACACACACACCTCAGACCTCAGACATGCCCATCGCGGAAGCGATGATAGCGAACAGCTATGTTAGACATAGCAACTTGTGCTGGGATTACACCATTCAACAGCTTGCAAGGCTGATGAATTGACCGCCACTATTTTTAGCCTGGTATCCACCACACAGCTGTTTTTGAAGTGACTTTTTCTGGCCAGTGAATCCCTATTTTTCTTTTTTCTTTTTTTTCTACACGCACACACCCCACACCACATACTCCGGCATACACTGGCTGTTGGTAACCACCCAGGAGAATGAAAGAAAAGTCAGGAAGAGTCCGAGAAAGAGAAGAAAGACGTGTGTGACCATAATCGTCGGGAATTGAACCCGCAACCTCTCGATTGGAAATCGCACACACACACACACACCACACACACACACACACACACACACACACACACACACACACACACACACACACACAAACACACACACACACACACGTTGCACTGCAGTTGCTAACTGGCAGAAACTGGTCATATTCTACATTGTACTTGATCGTATGGAAATGAACAAAAGTGATAATACAGTGAAACCTGTCTAAGGCGACCCCTCCAGGGACGAGAAAAAGTGGTCGCCGTGGCCAGGTGGTCTTCTTATCCAGGTCCAGTGGGTCACGTGACCATATCCACACGTGTGATCCATCATTTTGATCAGTGCATCACAGTGCACACACCTATGCTACTCTGCTCTCTCGCACGACTCATGTGCCTGGCCGGGCATGGGGTCCTCAGACCTGTCAAATGTTGTGTATGCACCATGTACATCTACACTTCCTGCACTGATGTGTAGATCTACCATGCCTGGTGCACCATGCAATGCATACATTAACATGTGCTAGCACTGTGCAACGCGGTCGCGGGTGGGTGGTCGCCGGTCGCGTTGAGCGAGTGGTCGCCTTATCCGAGGTGTTTTGAATGTGAATGCGTCCGTGACAAGGAAAAGTGGTCGTCATGGTCGAGTGGTCGCCATGTCCGAGTGGTCGCCATTACAGGTTTTACTGTATATGCCGCAGCGGAAATTTTGGTCTGACATTCGGTGAAAAAAGGTGTGGATCTGAGCCAGAATATTACGGTGCCTTGAAAACAAGAGGCTCACAGCAAATGGGCAGGCATTCAAAAACAGGGTCATCGTGGCAACTGATATGGACTTACCGTGCCGCCACGTAGCCAAGTGAAGTGGTCAGCAGGTCACTGCCAGCTGTATGGTTAAAACAAGAACACAGGCGTGCAACCATGCAACTCTCTCACACACAGACACAAACACACACAGACACACATACCGACACACATACAGACACACACACACATATACACACGCAAACAACTGAGTCAGCCTAGCTCCACTTCTCAGATCCACGCCATCCAGGTCTTGGTGGCCAAGGCGTATCCGGGGGCGCCTGGTCCAATTCAACACCATGTGCGTTCGTGCTTTTCTCGACGCTTTTTCTTCCGACATGCGCCGTCGTGTGGGGGACCACGAGCCACAAACTCTACTGAACGCCGTTCAAAAAGCAGTCGTCCTGAAGACGCAGGACAAGTTTAACCTGTAGCGACCTCGCTGCATGACGTCAGCTCTCTCACTAGTTATACGCATGCGCATGAAACATTTCTTCCTCTTTGTTCTAAAAGAAACAACAACAACTGTTAGACAAAGTTGCCCTCTCCTCCAAGTTGTAATTATTAGGCCCCAGGGTGGTTCGTTGCGTTGGCCGCACCTGAAATAACGGCTTGGAGAAGCCATGTGCAACTCAAACCAGGCTGCTCGAAACCCTCTGTGAGAAGCGCGAGAGACCGGCTCCTGACCAATGGTGACGAGGTCCACGCTGTTTTGGTTGTGGCCAGCTTGGTCACCTCTGCCGCGATTGCCAGCTCCGCAGTGAGGCTTCGTATTCGAGCAAAACGCCGCCTATCAATTCAAGTGAAAGTGGAGCTCACGAGTGCCACAGACGCTGGAGAGAGTACTACGTGCAGAATATCTAAAAATGAGAGCTGAATGGCAAGTAACGTCGTCAGGCAGTTCGCCACCTAATGTACTCGCCCACAACTTGCGCCTCTTCGCTACTGAAGGCGACGGGGACGATTCAGCTTCGCTGTCAACATCAACATCACTGAGATCCCAACAAATTGTCAGCGTCGCTCTGCAGACCCGCCGCCACGGACTTGCTGACACCTGACCAAACCTGGGCCATGCACAGCGATCGTCTGGCCCTGCGAGCTGCTCTAGTGTCACTAGATACGAACATTGTCAGTCTTTGCTTGCAAGCTACTTGAACAAGACCGCCAAACAAGTGTTTGAACAAAATTTGAGAAGATGATCGCCACATCATGCATGAAGCGCAGAGTGAACGCGCTCGAAAAAAACATTTCTTTTCATTTCGTCATTTCTCAACTTTTTTACGAGACCCCAAAGACATGTTTTAGCTGATCGCGGCCCATATGATAAGTAGATAGTGAATATATGGAAGTGTTATTCCGGGGAGCTCGCTCACCCATGTGAAAGTAATTCAAATTGAGTTCTGAGGCGTCTTCGTGCGCCGCCTCTCTTGGAACGCATGAACTCCCTTCGGCGGACGGCAGCCGGGAGGACGCCTTCTGCATCTGGGTGAGTTGCCTTCGGCTGGGCGCCGCCTTCATCTCATGCCCGTAGGCCCTTCCCTCTCATCTCCCCGTAGGGTGCCGTGCGGCCAAACCGGGTCCTCTCCCAAAAAGGGATACGGAGTCCGCAGTGCGGGGAGCACTGCAGGACTCTTTATGTCGGATGACGCGAGAAGAGGTGCCATTCTTGCTCGACTAACAAGGGTATCAGCTCCCTTGCAGGACTAAGCGCGCCCCCCTCAAGCTCTTCAGTGTAGCGCGTATGTCGCATCCCTGTGAGGTCCGCTGCCTGTCATGATCGCTCACAACCCAACCAAATCCAACCGCCAGGCGGTCGACCAATATTGTCGACGACCCAACTTAGTGTTCTGCTCACCTTGATTCACACACGAAGCGAAGACAACAGGTAGAGGGTCTGAGAGTCTCAGTCTATTACTCAAGTCCGGGAGAGAGTTAGTTGTGTAGAGTTATGATGTGACATTGTTCTTTTATGCACATGATGAAGAGATAGAGAAGTTCGTGCAAAGCACGGCGTGATGGTTCTGGGAAGGCGGCGATAAATACAGGTTTTACAACGCAGGCATGGCAAGAAAACAGCAAAAGATCAATAGTTCAAACAACGGAAACGACAATGAATAAAAAGCACAAACGGAGCAAAAGGACGGATCGGGACGTAGGGAGCCCGCTCACCTACGTCTCCGCGGAAATCTTTGAATTATATGGATCACGTCGGGGAGCCCGCTCACCCGACGTGATAGAACAGCGTAACTCTGGCGGGATGTTGTGCCGTATCTGCGTCCCCTTTCCGGGAACTTCACCGGCGGGCCCTTCGCGGGTCACCGCGGCGTCGCTGTACCGCGCTTGCCACGCCTTCCTTTTGCGCCTTCATTTTGCGCGCGGTTCCCCGCTCTTTTGTGCACGCCTCTCATTCTTCTGCACTCAGCTCTCATTCTTCTGCACTCAGCTCTCATTCTTCTGCACTCAGTTCTCATTCTTTTGCGCACGGCCCTTCGTGTCTTGCACGAAGCGCGAAAGGGATCATGGAAATCAATAGGACTTCTCAGTCACATGATTTTGCATGAAGCCTAGAGCGTACATTTCCAGGAAGTCAAGAACTTCCTGGAACATTCCTAGAACATTCCACGCGAGAACCTACCTGACCAGGGTCCGGCGGTGAATCATACGATGTGTCATGTCCAAGAGACATGACACCAACGTGGGATATCACGCCTAAAAAGCATGACACCTACGCGGAACAGCGCGTGCCGCTCAACCTACATGCTCAACACGTGGGACAAGACACTGGCCAAACCACGTGATAGTATAGATTGTGACAGCTCAAACACAGAGCTGCGCACTACACAGATCCTGCTGTCACAGGACCTGTCAAACCGCGAGAGTCGCGTCCAGGACGTGACATTTCCCCCGCCATTAAAGAATCACGTCCCCGTGATTGTACTCAACCAACATGATAGTCAGCGAGATACCGCGGCGGCTGCCTGTCTCGGACAGGTCGTCCCCCAGGTGCCGCGACGGGTGCATCGGGCAAGTCAACTGGAGCTGCCGGAGGCACATCCAGTCCACCATAGGTTTCGGCACGAATACCGTCGTCATCGGCCGAATACAACTCATCGGTAGCATCAGGCTCATACGACCCAGAGCCGGCAGAATCATCTGCCGTCGTTAGTGGCTGCAAATCGGTTGAGTCCGTGACATCCTCTCCTACTGCTGGAAGCAGATGGTCAGGCCTCACACGGCATCTCTTCAACCGGTTTACATGCACAATCTGCAGCTTAGCTGCCCCGGCGGTGTCTCGGATACGGTACACGACCTGAGAGAGCCTATTCACAATTGTAAAAGGGCCCTTCCACAATTTAGCTAGCTTAGGAGCAGTGCCTACAGGTGCTGCGGGAACCAAAAGCCAGACTAAATCGCCAATTTCAAAAGAAACTGGTTTTGCACCTGCATCATACAGATCAGCTTGGTGCTGGTGTACAGCACGGAGCCTATCACGCACCGTAGCATGTGCCTCAGCCAAACGCTCACGCAAACTCTTTGCGTGCGCTGGCTCAGTAACCCCCTCAGCACGAGGAAGGCCGTACGCGACGTCCTGCGGCAAACACAGTTCGCGCCCAAACAGGAGATACGCTGGTGTGTACCCGGTACTGGATTGCTCAGTGGCGCGGTATGCCATTAGCACTGCCGGCAACTGCACATCCCAATTCCTCTGATTTTGGTCAACGCAATGCGAGAGCAGACGCTCGAGCGTTTGGTTGAACCGTTCAACAAGCCCATCCCCCGCAGGGTGATACGCAGTAGTACATGTCTTCTTGATGCCAAGAAGAGTGCACACATCTTTGAACAACTTTGAATCAAAGTTGCGACCCTGATCAGTGTGTAAGCTTTCGGGTGCCCCAAAACGGGACACAAACTCACCCACGAATACAGAGGCAATACTCAGGGCATCCATTGTTGGTTATGGATGCGCCTCAACCCACTTAGTAAAGTAGTCAATAACCACTAGGATATGCTTATTGCCACTTGCTGTTTCCGGAAGCCCTGGAATCAAATCCATGGCGATCCGTTCAAACGGGTAACCATTCCAGGTGACCTGCAAGGGTGCTCCATGTCCACGACCGACTGGTCTAGACCTTCTAGAGCACGACCCACAAGTACTGTAAAAGCAGAAATTTTCGGTGGTGTAATATTTTCGGTATTCGCCAAAATCGGCGGTTCGGTAGAGGGAAATTTTCGGTAAAACCCGTTCTCCAGGTAAGTGTACTAGTACTACATGTATACAGTATCGGTTGTACCGAAAATTTCGGTGCTTTTTATTTTCGGTAAAACTTGTCGGCACCGAAGTTACCGAAAATAAAACACCACCGAAAATTTCTGCTTTTACAGTACCCACCCAATCCACTACATCACGTTTCATTTGGTGCCAGTAGAATTTAGTAGGTAGGTACCTTGATGCTCGGGATTGGACCTCCGTCATAATCCTGACCGGAGACTTGGTCCCCGTCTCCGGTCACTACCCGTTTCCCTCCCGTCGAGGACGGGATTGATAACGGGGTCCAGGCCCACGTGCCGCAGGGGCCCGTGGCCTCTGATTCAATTCGGGGCAGGTGGAGCGGAAGTGATCCATGCGGCCACATGTCCAACATGCCCCTGGTGGTGGCTGGACGGTTTGTTGAACCTGGAGGCTATGCACCACTTGTTCGGCCAACCGTGCTACGACCTTGGTTAAGGCTTCTACCTCGGGACTCAGGCCCCTTGGCTTCACTGCTGCGGTAACCAACTGCTCCGGACCTAATTCAAAGGTGCGGGGTAGTCGAGAAGACTTCTCAGCGTCTTCCTTCTGCCAAACCCGTTCCAGGTCGTTAGCCATAGAAACCGCCGCCTGGATCGTGCCTGGTGCATTCTCTTGCAGACGCAAGCGCAGGGCGTTAGGCGTAACTGCATCGATGAACTGGTCCCGAACCAGTTCCTCCTAGACAGGTCCGGGCATAAGTGGATATGCCCGCCCTACCAGCTGTCGTAATTCGTCCGCGAGGCGACCGAAATCTTCATTGCCGCGTCGTCGCCGATTTCTAAACATAGATT